TTTCCCAACGTTTATTTTTTACGTTGCTTGATAACATTTATTACCCAATATTTATTTTTACGTTGTCTAATAACAGTTATTACACTCCTTCACTTTTATTTTCATCATATTTATTTTCTTCTCCATCTCCATTTTCGTCAATATTATTATCTTGCAACGTTTATGAGAGAACGTAAAAAATAAAAGTTGGACAATAACTGTTATCAAACAACGTAAAAAATAAACCTTGGGTATAACTCTTCTTGGCGAATTGAAAAATATTTCTCATCTAATAACTGTTATGAAACAACGTTTTCGTTAAATTTCAGCATTCGGGCAACGTCTTCAATTTGTAAATTCGAGATAACAGTTATTTTTGGACCTTAATTTATAGAAGATAGTAACTTTTAAATAATAAAAATAATTAGAAAAATTAAAGCTTTTGTACATGCGAAGACCATGCCCTTTTATTTAGTATCTCATTTTGTAATGCAACGAGCGGCGAAAATATTTTAATTTTTTAATAGGTGGCAACCATACTCAGAAAAATAATACGATATTTGGCTTTAGGAAACGCACTATAACAAATTTCCATCTTTCTTATAGGCGGCATACACGGTGTGTCTGACTCGCGAGTCGCATTGGATGTGTTTGTGAAAATAAATATGTGTTAATTACACCGACCGTGTATGCCGCCTATTAGAAACATTTCTAACCGACTTCCAAAAAAAAAGGAGGATATCAGTTCATCGGAATATGGTTTAGATCTGATAATTGGATCATGAAATATATATATATATATTTTTTTTAAGTAGGTCGTTTTTTGGTAAAAATTACTTGTTTGTAAAGAGTTTCGTAGTCCATTATATTTTAGTATAATATCTGAATTTCAGACATTTCCTCGCGATCCTTCCATATAAATATTTATATCTCGTAACAGAGCGGTAGACAAAATAAATAAAAATACCTTATTTATAGCCCCTAAGTCGCTCCTTTAAATTAGCCTGGTGTTGAACAATTTTGGAAACATTTACCAAGAATATTTGGAAATGTCCAGCCTTTGTAGAAAAATTCAAACAACCTTGTTTTGTCCCGTATTTGGCTGGCATAAATGTGGTCACCGTGCCTATAATCTGCAATAAATCACAATCATTTCTGGCCAAAAATTGCTGGCCAATGGGGAATTTTTGCTAATTTTGTATTTTACGTCAAACTTTATCCGCACCGTAACGTACATTTAAGCAATCAGTAATCAAATAAGCATAAACAAAAGATCAACCTTAAGCTTCAATGATTTTATTCAATTAATCCCCTAAAACCTACAACTTCGTGCTTTAATTAGTGACTTGGTAGTAAGTAGATTGTGAGAGTCCATGCCGCCTGTCAGCTTTTCATCCGCTGCGCATTTAGGCCACTTCCAAAATTCGAATGCCAAATAATTAATCAATATTGTGAAAGCTGCTTAAACGGTGTGCATCCTTACTATTGCTACCCTTTAACCGCCTTACGTTATACATACATACATCAAAATAAATTAGGTTCGCTGCAGACAAAATAGAAATTGGCTGTCCGCAATTAGACGGGGGCGGGCTCTATATTAGTTCACAGCACAGTAGGCCTTTATTAGAAATTTTCTGATAAACGTACGAACACAATAATGTGTGTATGTATGTAGCAAATGCTGCGCCTTAACTCTTTGCAAGCAAAGCCAAGCACTCAGCACAATTCTAGGAAATTAAGATTATAATGGCGATGATATAAATGAAAATGAAGATGGTGATGAGCTTGAAGATTAAGATGAAAATTCAAATGATGTAGAAACAAATGTTTGTCTGTATACATATTTATTTATATACACAGAATAAAAGTAGTAGTGGAAATACATAGTAGATACACAGCGGCTAAAGCTGTTGACCCAATGTCGGTTTGTTACCCTGTTTTGTTGTCGGCTCTGCTGCTTTGGCTGTTGACCGCCTTTCTTCGCTCTTCCTTAATTCGTTCGTCGGTCAAGTTATTTAGGCGCTACTTTGCTTTAGATGTCTTAATTTAATTATGCTCAGAAAAATATAACATTAGCCGTCGTACCATCACACCGCAAAACAACAACATATGCCGCAGTAGTGGGTTACTACATCCCAGCAGGAAATTCTAATTGAAGTCTCTTTGGCATGTTGAGCGCTTCATATCTATTGTTTTAACTTATCGAATATAATTTACAACCGAGGTATTACGAGGTACTCCATTTTTAGTCTCGTAATGGAGTCTCCTGCAAAACATAATAATATCGATAAATACTAAAGAATTATCGAAGTGATGTGAATAAATAAATATATCATAGCTTTTAATACAGCTTAAGGTGATTTAAAAATTTTTCCAACAGTATTACAATATAAATCTTGGTCAAACGGATTCTATTAAAAGCATACCCAAGACAAATGCTCGTATCCTTCGAAATAATAATAACTATAATCAAGATTCTACTTTTGTCATTTCTTTAAAAGGCAAATTAGTTCCCCCAAGCCTAATTTTCCTTACTCTCAGTATATGCGGATGTACATAAGTACATATATCAGCAGCTATATTATCTCGAAGGGTGATGTATCTAATCTGTATTGAGAATCGAAGTAAAGTGTTGAATACCTAACATCTTCTGAAATATTGCGTACCGACATCCTTATAAGTGATAACTTTGAAAATCGTATGCTTCAACAATCTAGGACTGCTGGCGGTCACCGTTAGCTAGTTGCTACAGATTCGTACAATCACTCGCCAGGACTTGGGTTGGATTCCTAGGCAACCAACATCAAAGTTTTTTTTTCCAAAGTAGGCCACCATCGACATGCAAAGAATAAAGGAAAGAGATAAAGAAGCTTATCTCGTAAAACCAACGTAAAAATCCATAGTTCCCTACATTTCGATGACATCGTCACTCGATGAACTATCTTGGCTTTATCCTCATAGCTGCCAGACAAATTATCCTAACTTAGAATATGAATACTGCATATTTATTTAGTTTTATGTGAAGCTGTTAAGTTATGAAGTTAGGGCAAAGTAATTAGGCTCGTCCGTGTTATTCTAGTTGGTCTGACAAAGTGTATGTTCGACGATTTTTTTATATAGAAAAAATGAGCTATATCTTCAGCAAAAAAAGTCCCAGCTACAAATTGCCCTACAAGAATTGTGTGATGGAAACTAACACATTCTCATTTACCTTACTAACACATTTACAAACTTTGCGTTGGTTAAAAAGAGACAACTAAATAATGCCATAAGTCGGAGGAAGACGGAACACAAATGTTTACATCAGATTTTTCACACTGCC